TGTGTATATAAAAAAACTTTTAACTCACTAATTTCATTTAATCTATAACACATATTTTTCTTCTATTTTAATAACAATTATTCTTGAATTCGTTTCTGTATTTTTCAATCATGTTTCTAGGTTATATTTGTATAATTTAATTTTTAAAGTCAGCTGACAAATAATCGATTACTGGCTGTGTTCAGAATCGGATCCATCGAATCTATCGATTCTACTCTGGACTATGCCACAAAAAGCAAAATTTACTATCAAAGATTCTGTTTTCATGCTATTCATAATATTATAAAAACACTTGTTGCCAAGATAAATAATTTAATTAAATAAAACATACCTTGTTATAATTTTCAAACCAGTGTTTTTACTAAATCTCTCGAACGAACCTACAGCGCCCAACAATCGATTTTTCCTGGTATTCAGATTATGGAATCCAATTGAACCCGAGATGTCTCATGCACCATTACAGGTAACAATTCCGAATACGAGGGGAAGATAAAAATTACATCTTATTCAAAATAAACTTACAGTTCAAAATTAATCATCATTTTTATTATTATTCATAATTAACATCCCCGCAATATATATATATATATATAAGATAAATTAACTGAAGTTTTATTAGTAAAGTATTAATACTAAAATTTTAATGTAATTTACAGAAAATAGCTAGGTATGTATTTGTTTTTAAATAATTTGATAGTTTATGAAAAAAGGGAGTAAAAGTGGAATGACCAGTGGCCAGTAGGTCAGTCAATACAAAGTATCATATATTTCTATTATAACATAACTAAAATACCTACATCTTTTAATCATAAGGACATAAGTTAAAAACCATTTTAATATATGGATTAGAATAAAGTAATAATAACTTAAAGAGACGAGGTCTTAAAGCAATAGCTGGTACAGCATGTTTTTTAAACGTTTCCTCATTGCTGCTAGAATGAAATCACTTACTATGAAATGTGCTCTAAAAACGGCATTTATAGCAGTCAGTGTTCAGTCTTAGGATCTCTTCCTAAAGCCCTCATCCAAGCTGCATACATATTAAAAAATAATTTAAAAAAAACATATTATATACCTATATAGTTTTCGGTTCTGGGTGCCCTAAAAGAGGACACTTAGCCGACAATTTGGCTCAGATAGCTAAAACCCAAAAGTCACACCCCGAACCAGAACGTATTGCTATCCTTTTAAGTAAAAAAAGTACAGTGTTTCCATGAAAATTTAGCTATGTTTTTAGCAGTATTATAGGACCATTTCTACCACGCGCATCCAACGATATTGGCGTTCCACAGTTCACTGTATTTTCCTCACACCTCTAGTATAAATGATTTGACATAACGAAACTAACAATAATTATAATTAATGTAGAGTAATAAGTGATTCGTGAATTCTAAATAAAACAATTATTACATAAAAGTGGAAAAGGAAATGTAATTTATTTCCCTATTTTCTTCTGTAATATCTTCAATTATTATGTTTAATTTCTATAAATAAACCAACTGGTTAGGTGAAACATTGTGATATAAGATTTTATTTATGTGTCCTATGCGCACACTTTAATATACAAAACACCTGGAACATTCTTTAAATAATTGTGGTCGTAGAAATAATTGTGTACATAACTCGTTTGAAAGTGTATTATATGCACTTGCCAAATATATTATCCATACAGATTAATCAGACTATTTTTTTACTTAACTTCAGTACATTTCTTACTACTAAAACTATTTTTATCAATGGAAAAAAAGGGCCGTGTTCTCGTATGTTTTGACGCATTTTCGGCCTCAGCCCATCGGATCTCCCCTCTAAATATATATGAATTTTGCTTAGAATTGCTAATCCTACAATTCTCTATTCCTGCTTGCTGACTGGGAAAATAAATACCGAAAATCGTCACTGTCTCCTGGACTATACAATAGATGATGATGAGAACTTCACAACAAATACACTTTTATGAATGGCTAGTTGGGGATGTGCTTATAACTATGAAGACTAGTCTTCATACTTATAACTAATAACAAAGTGCAGATTATCGGTGTTCACGTATACAGAACACACTAACTAAAAATCAGTGTAGCCAAAACATAAATTTACCCATCATGACGACAAGCTGGAATGGGATCATTTTATTGTATTGACCGCATACGCCAAGCGGTATCTAGACCCCTCCTCCATATCTATGATCTAGACTTTCTGAGGGCTCTATGCAGGGGCTGGTAACAAATGGAAAAACATGAGGACGGTAATTTAGTACCACTCTAATTAACGGGATGGCGCTCGTATCGAAATGTCATGTCAGTTGTCAGCTTGTCAACAAAACTTCATACTTGGAAAAATTAAAATGACTGTCTCATTTGAAGGTGTATTGAATTTTGATTCATCTAGATTTATTTTTCAACACCTTCCAATTTTAAGCATGTTTTCAAGAGATGGGAACATGGATTTCATCAACGAACAATGAAGCACTCCCAGATATTGGTAGTGATGCAATTTATACCACGTATTAAATTTGCGGTCGTCATATTAAGGATAAACATACAATTTGTAATAAGTGTCTTAAGAAAAATGCATCTTGTACTGGCATATCAGTGGTAAGTAATATTTACAAACTTGTTTTTGATTCAGTGTTAAAATAATTGGTTTGTTATTTAAATTTCTTTTTGTTTTCAGTTTTTAAATGATCATTGTTATAAAGAAAATGTTGGGCCTTTAAAATACCCTGTAGATCGATGAAATATTTGAGCCTTAGCCATCAATATCAAAATTTGATTCAATGCCATTGACATCAAACACGAAAACACCCCAAAATCTTCAAAGGTCCAAACGTGTGTAAGTTTAATTTAAGCTCGAAAGTTAAATTCATTTATCACAGTGCTCAGATGATGAATAAGAATTTGATAACTACAGGTGCTATACAAATAAATCAATAAAACAATATCGGATGAAGAAATGTTCCTCAACTTAACTAGTCGACTCAATAAGCATATGGCAAATTTTATCCACCCTCAAATTCGCCTTGATTGTAAGACACCAAAAGGATGATGCTTCAACTTAAGTTTTTTCAAACTTATTGCCACTCCAAGTTGCAAAACTTTTATATTGGTCTTGAGCACTCAAATATGTCGAGTTTGTTACAGAAAACATTTTTGATAGGTTTGTTTTATAAATATTTAATTATTTAAATGGTATAAATGCATATTTGTTTGAGTACCTATTTCCATGTTTAAATAGACAAATTATATGATGCGGCGTTAATTTACTGTAATAAAAAAATAAATAAAATAAATTGCATTTTATTTCAAGTTTGAAATTAATACAAAAATATATTGAAGAAAATCAAACAAAAAAAATAAATTGGCAAAATATTTGACTAGTTTCAAATCACAAAACAGTCAATATGGTTGTTTTATGATTTGAAACTAGTCAAATATTTTGCCAATTTATTTTTTTTTGTTTGATTTTCTTCATTATATTTTTGCGCGACTAGCAGAAAGTTAAATTTCAAAAAGCCCGCGCTAAGCGGCCATATTGAATTTTAGTACCACTCCAATTTGATAGATGGCAGCACATCGACTCAGAATATTACCATTGAGTTTCCCATCTATTCACATTCTAATCTATGGCTCTATGGTAGTGAACAGGCGAGTTCGGATAGTCAGGGGCTGGAGCGGGACAAAAGCGGAGTTTTTTAGGGTGCTTTTAAATGACATTTAAGCGTGTTATACTGTCACTAATCGGACTAAACCACAAAGCACATAGAGGTTCCACGTGAATGACCAAGGTCAAAACCGACAATTGACATTTTTTATGCTATTTGCTCCAAACTCTAGATGGGGCTACTGGTAAAATTCTGATTTCTTACTCCATTTTTAAGCTTTATGGGAGAAAAACTTAACCAAAGACTCCAAAGATGTGACGTGTATTTATTTATGTTTTTGGTTAATCTCATTTTTCCGTCTGATTTTAGTGATTTTTTGTTGGCTTTGGCTTTTGGTTTCTGTTTATAGTTTCGTCTTAGTTATAACCTACTGTGTTTTGCAATAATTTTGGTGCTACCTGTGGGTGCTACGTTGAAAACTTCGAGAAAAACTTCATTGATTCACCATGCATCTGCATCATAAAAAGACAAACGAGTATAACAATTTATCACTGGACTAGATTCCGAAATCATTTTTCACATAAGTAATACTCAAAGCAGTGGAGTAATACCACCATCTGTATTTGGAAGGAAAATACCTATTTATCATTGAATGAATAGTTAAAAGGATTCACCTTTTAATACAATACCTATATTACATTTGTCCTCGGTTTAAAAGACATTTATAAAATATATTATTTTAGTGTTAATAAAATGTAATATCCTAGTCTCTACTTCACATTTAAATTATTGATAGGTATTTTAAAGATTTGAGATTGTATACCTATTTGCTGCAAGTAAGTATTCGTTAAATATGTATTATTATTTGTATTTATTTTTATCTAATAATATTATTTAAGTTATTAATAAACATATTTTAAGAATGTTCTATTTTATTATTTATTGATATATCTTATATTTATTTAATAATAATATGCAGAACCAACTCTTCACATCAGACCCCTGCTTATAACAAATTAATTCCTCAAATTTGGTATAATCGACCTAAATTATTTTGTAAAATAAAAGTTTCGAACTTATACTAGTTCCATTCTTTATTTTATAAAATAATTTATGTGGAAATCATTTGAAATTTAATTTAAAACTACTACCTACTCCTAAAAATTACAATTTGAATTTACCGCCATCTGTCAATTGTCATTTTAGTTCCAGCTCCAAACACAAGGTGGCGCCAATTTGGTTTAAAAGTTTAACATTGGCGTGGGGTCTCTAGAAGATACGTGCTTTGTGGACTAAACCGAACGCTAAAAGGGTCGTTTGGAGTAAAAAGTGTTAAAGGAGTTAAAAGAACGTGGCAGACCGAACGTAGTGAACGATAAACCGAACTCAGCCACCATGACGTGACAGGACAGGCGTGACAGTGACAAGATAAAAGTATGACATATGTCGTGATATGTGGATAAATTGACCTTTAATTTTAAATTTTGTCAAATGGCCATTTAAAAAATGTTTTTAAACTAGAACGTTAGAACTATAAAAAATGCACAGTCAGCCTAAACCTAAAAATCCATGGAATAAAAATAATCAAAAACAACCGAAGAAGAAAAATGATAAAATATCTCCAACCCCCTCTGAAATTAAATTCAAAGAAGCACATGCAAAACTGCAAGCTGCTGTTCAGAAACACGTAAAAGAGTATGAATCTTCATCTGATGAGGAAGAATTGGAATCAAGCTCTTTAATAGGTAATTCTATTTTTACAAATCTATTAAAAATGAGCCCCCAGATCTAAACTTGAACCCATACTTAGTAAACAACTTTAGTAACATAAACTGTACCTATATATTGTAGATTCAATTTTAAATAACTACAGGAAAAATAATGGAGAAGATGAAAGCATTGAAAAAACTCAAAATTTACTAAAGGATACTTTCCTTTCTGGTGCAGCCACTTGCTTAATTTGTATATCTAGGATTAGAAAAGAGGACCAGGTAGGTCATTTATCAAAGAGTCAAACACTGTTTAAGAGTCGCCTTGTAGCTATTTTGTATCATTTTTCCCCTTACAATTTTTTTAAGTGGATTATTTCAATATTATTCTTTGTAGTTATTAAAAATATATAAGTATTGAGTGTCTAATTTATTCAGATATGGTCCTGCATCAATTGTTATGGGCATTTCCATCTAATGTGCATCCAAAGATGGTCCAAAGACACTATAACTCAACAAAAACATGCACTCCAAGAACAGATAGTAGTGAAACTAGCAACATTCCTTTGGTGCTGCCCAAAATGTCGAAACGAATATGACACGGCTGATGTTCCTAAAAAATACCTGTGTTACTGTACCAAAACTGAAAATCCAAAGTATGATCCATACCTTGTACCACATTCCTGTGGACAAATCTGTAGAAAGAATTTGAAGCCTATTTGTGGGCACACTTGCTTGCTACTTTGTCACCCAGGTATATTTTTAATTAGTTGATATTTTCTTTGTTAAATAAATTATATTTTGCTCAATTTTTTTAGGACCATGTCCACCTTGTCCTGTAACTGTTAGTGTGACATGTTATTGTGGTAGACAATCTCCTAGAGTTCAGAGATGTAGTAAAAAAGAATGGTCTTGTAATAATGTTTGTGGTAAACAATTAGAATGTAATAAACACACATGTCCAAATCCTTGTCATCCAGGAGATTGCAAGCCTTGTCCAAAGAAGAGTATCCAGAAATGTATTTGCAAAGCTCAACAAAAACTTAGAGATTGTTCCAGTCCTGTATGGCAATGTGACAAGGTAGATTTTTTTTAACAAGGATGGTTTCCTCACCATAGTAGAATTTTTTACAATTAAATCATTAATTCATGGATAATATCAGTCAAAGTTTATTTAGAGAGAACTACATATGTGTCTGATTTTGTCCATCTTCTGGTGCAGTCAATAATAATTTTAAAAAACGAGGCTCAGGTAACAATTTAAAAGTTTTAAAACCGGGAAACCCCATCTTTTTGTTTTATATTGTGTATACTTGAAATATAATTTGGTTTTTTTAAAAATAGGGTTTTTTAAATTGTTTGTTATTTGTCCCTCAATGTTTTTTAAATATTATTGACTGTACCGGAAGATGGAAAAAATCTGAAACATATGTAGTGCTTTTTAAATAATAATATTTATTTATCCTTTAAGACATAAAAAATGTATAGGACAAGTCAGAGTTAAAATACTGCAATTATTAAGCACAATATAAGACAAAAAAGAAACAAAAGAAAATATTAACAAATGTTGACAAATAAGACACAAGGAACTACTTTTTTAGTCATAGACGGAAGTGACACAAAAATATTCCCGCACACTATAATAACACTAACTGCTTGACATCTTTTAAATTTGTTTAAACTCATGTTTTTAAAATGATTGGGAAAGTGGTTGTAGAGTTTTAGGCCCATATATTTAGGAGAATTTTCAAACTTGGATGTTGTGTGTTTCGGAATCGCCAAGTGATTTGAATATCCAGCTTGATAATTATGAAAAAAGGATAGTTTACAACATGCATTTAAGTTATTTTTAATAAACAATAAGCATTTTAAAATGTATATACATGGAAATGTCAAAATTCTGTCATCAATAAAGACGTCTCTGCAGGACTCACGGTATGCTATGTTAAATATTTTACGAATTATTTTCTTTTGGTTATAAAAACCCAATCTTTGTTTGAAGCATTACCCCAGAGAATAACATTGTAGCTAAGATGACTGTATACTAGACTGTAGTATACGTTTAATAATGCACTGAAGGTACACTATCATTTATGTGAGAAAATGCATAGTAGGCCTTGCTAAACTGTTTATAGAGAGTGGTTATATGTTCCGACCAGTTAAAATGCTGGTGCACATAGATACCCAAGAATTTTGTAAAAGCTAAAGCAGTTATCAAACTTTCGTCCACATTTAATTGTGGCTGGTAGATGGTAGAATTAAAATTCAGGCTAAAAATACTAGATTTGTTTTGTCCCTATTGACTATTAAACCATTTGATTTGCACCAGTTAACAAAGCAGTCTATGAGTTCTTCAGCAAGCAATTTCAGTTCACTATGGGTTTGTGCTGCATCAGCTAATGAGGTGTCATCTGCAAATAGACTTAAGCTATATAGAGTTGAGTTAAAATACTGTGGAAAATCATTGATAAACAGCAGAAATATCAGTGGTCCTAGCACAGACTCCTGGGTTAACTTCATGACAATCGGACGTTGAATTTTTAATTTTAACAAACATTGTCCTATGCGATAAAAAATCAATGAACCAGTTCAAAAATATTCCTCTAAAACCGAGATTATATAATTCGCTTTCAATGAATCTGAAATCTAGAGAGTCAAACGCCCTCGACAAGTCAAAAAAATATTCCTGCAACTAGTTTTCCATGATCTAATGATTCATAAATATACTCTATAAGATTGCATATAATTGACTCTGTGGATTTCCGCTTAAGAAAGCCATGTTGTCACTGGGATATAATGTTGAATTTTGCTAAAAATGTGGACACCTTATTGAACACCAATTTTTCAAAAATTTTGAGAAGGTGTTTAACAGTGATAAAGGTCGGTAATTAGTTATTTCGTGGGGATTGCCTTTTTTATGAACAGGTATAACAGTAGATATTTTTAAAATGGATGGAAATTTACCCGTAGTTCTGAGATGAAATCAATGATTGATTTTATGATTTTTATCGATATATTGTCTGCACCTGTGCTTTTTGTATTTTTTAATTGCTTGAAAATGACAACAACTTCATCCTTGTCAACTGGTGCAAAAAAAGAATGTCTTATTCATGATATCAGCCATAGTGCAGTTGTCACATCTTGAATTTCTAAAATGTTAATTTAAAGATAAATCATTAATTCATTGACTTCAGCAAAGTACTTACCAAAAGAGTTAGCTATAATTTTAGAGTCATAAATTGATTCATTATTTATGTTTAATGTTACATTTTTATCAGCATTTTTTTATACTAGTTTTCCTATTAACTAAGTTCCAAACTGTCTTATTTTTGTTATTAGATTTTTCTATTAAATTTTCATGGAATAATTTAGAATATTTTAGCAAAATATTAGATTCGTATTTAGCATTCTTGTACATGGCAAGAGATGTCTCACTACCTATTTTTCTAGTAAGCCAGAAATATTTTTTTAAGTCTTGACTAGCTGGACGAACCTCTTGGGTAATCCAACCTGCAGAGTGTTTGTTTGCTGATATATTTCTTAATTGGGCAACAAATTTCTATAACATGAGTTAAAACGTCCAAGAACATTTGAAAACCAGCATCTACATCATTAACATTATACCGGGTGTTCAAATTAAAGTGTTTCAGTTAAATACCGCCGAAAATATGCATTTTAGAAAAAAAAGTTTCAGACAAAAGTTTTATAGTTTTTTGGGAAAAAATTTTGGCTAAATTCATTTTTTTATAGCTGACCATAATATGGCCATATCGAGGTGAACTTTGTTTTTTTAAATGGGAATCCCATTTTTTTCTTTACATATTCTTAAAGTACATAAAAAAATAAGAAACTTTTGAGGGAAATATTTTTTTTATTGGACTTTTACTTTTTGAGTAACAGCTACTTGAAAATGTTGCTGCGCGAAAAAAAAGTTGGCCATATTATGGTTAGCTATAAAAAACGATTTTAGCCAAAAGTTTTTCCCTACAAAACTATAAAACTTTCGTCTGAAACGTTTTTTTTTATATAAAAAGCGGTATATAGCTGTAACGCTTTAATTTAGAACACCCGGTATACATTACTAAAACTAATGACAGACAATGCAGATCGCAGTTATTCCAAGGTTTGATCAGTAATGTCTCTAAATGTTCTGGATTTATCCCTATTGCAGTTATTGTAAGTACTTGGTAGGTTATATTCAAGCGTAACGGCCCTATGGTCGCTAAAGTTGGCTTCAATAACTTTACTAATACAACACTTTAACATTAGTTAAAATATAGTCAACTTTAGTGGATGATGTTTCACCCAACCTATTTGCAAACACTTGTGTTGGGACCTTAGAGGTGACTGATAGGTTGTAACTAATTAAAACTTCTTCAAACAGATCTTTATGAGTATTATCATTTAAATAGTCAATGTTTAAATCACCGCATATAAAAACATCCTTCACCTGTTTAGTGCAGAATTCAAGAATTAAAGAAAGGCGATGAGAAATTCATCATAGTTACCATTTGGCGAACGGTAAAAACTTAAAATACAGAACTTACTGTCATAATATACAAATTTGATGGCACAACACTCACAGTTAATTTCTTCAGTTAAATACTGCACACTCAGTTCTTGAACCTGGTAGCAGCTTTTAACATATATAGTAGACCCTCCATGTATGTGAATAGATCTGCAGAAACTGGCAACAAGATCATATCCTGGAGCAGAAGTGAATTGAATACCATCCCGATTGCACCAGTGTTCAGCGATACTAAGAATATCAGGCTTTTCTTCTTCTAAGAGAACTTTAAGTTTGTTGGTCTTATTGCTTATGGTTTGAGCATTTTACATATCCAGATTGATTACTGGGAACCGCACCAGAAAAAGATAGCAGGGGCTTGGCTGAGGCTGAGCCAGTTTCCAAAAGAGCCTGTTGCTGATTAGTTATTTTGAAAGGGACGAATGGTAACCTTGTCAGGCCAATTAATAGGATCGAGTAGTTCATTCATAGATATGTCTAAACTGCCAACTTTAAAACATTTTTTTTTTATATTTAGATTTAAGATCAAAACAATTAATATTTTTTCCAATAAATGTTTCTTGTATATATCTCTGCACATTTTCGAGGGAAGTACTATGATGTATACCTCCTATCCATATCCAGTTTATCTGTTGTGGAATAAAAACTTCGATATTTCCAATGAATTTTTATTTAATTGTATCTAGATTGTTTTATCACTTAGAAATTGTTTAGTGAATATTTCAATGTCAGTATTTGTTTCCCTTAGGTTTGTAATAAGCAGTTAGACTGTGGACACCATAAATGTGAAGAGGTGTGTCATGAAGGAGTTTGTGATAGTTGTCATTTATCTAAACCAAGGACTTGTCCTTGTGGAAAAACTCTTTATCGGCTTCCATGCACTCAAGAGACACCAACTTGTGCAGATACATGTGAAAAGCTGCTAGATTGTGGTATCCATCAATGTAATCTCAGATGTCATAAAGAGAAATGTGGAGCAGTAAGTAGTCATTTTAAAAAAGTATAATTGTACGGTATTCCAATTTCTGAAAGTTTTTTAATGTTACTTTTTTGTTGAATTCTGCAGATTAGTACAATTTTAGCAATGCAGAGGTACACATTAGAAACATTTGGGTATCTTGGTAAAACTTATGTTGAAAATGGGTCTTCTGTATGAGCTACGAAATTCTGGAATCCTTTGATGTATAAAATCTTCCTCAGAAAAAAGTATAATACCGAACTTTTAAAGTACAGGATCTGTGAAAGATATCAAAACAACAGATCCTGAATATATGTCTATTGAATGTCATTCAGAACATTAGGCTCCAGCAAAATGACAACATGGTTGGCTTCAGCTTACAAAGGAGCTGAAGCCAACTCATCATCCTTTAAAACTTATTTATTATCAACATTTGGAAACTCTTATTGGAACAATCATTATAATTCATTTTACTTTATATACATTTTATTATTATATATTTTTTTAGTGTCTTGAAACTGTTGAAAAATCTTGCAGGTGTGGACAGCACACTAAAGAAGTTCAGTGTTACAAACTATATTTTTGTGATTCCAAATGCAAAAGATTGAAGGATTGCAACAAACATCCTTGCAATAGAAAGGTAAAATTTTATAAATATCCTCAATAATAAATTTGACACAGTTAAATACATAGACATATTGTTACCCTTAACAAAAATATCAGAATCGCCTCTGTAACATTTACTTAAGTACAGTGGCGGCTTGTGGTAATTTAAAATGGGTGTTCACTTTTTCCAATAATTTTATAATTTGTAAGTTCAGATCAAAACTTTGTACAAGAGTCAATATCGCTGTTTTTTTTATTATTTGAGTTTGTATTAAGTGTAGTTATTATTATCAACATCATACTGTTTTCAAGCACTACAACCATTAATAAATGAATATTTTAGTTAGTTAATATTTGTTTTGTTTTTAATACGTTGAAAACCATCTATAAACATTATTAGTTATTAAACTGACTTTTCTTCATAAGAGATTATTTTTAAATATATATCAGGTTATGTAGAAAGCTTGACATTGATTTTTGTGTAAAAATTTAATATGAAACTTTACCTAACCATTTTTTAGTTTTTATTGTAAGTTAAATCATTTTCACAATTTGTCAAAGATGTCAAATAAACAATATATTTTTTAAATACCTTTTATTGGCAAATAAAATAAGAACTAAAATGTTTTAAATGTTTATTTTATAAGATCAGTCCCATCACAATACATAATATTACACAGACACAAACTAGAATAAAGATATATAATGCCTGGCATTCCAAATGGCACTCTTCGCAGTTTAACAGAGCCCCTTAGCCCCCATTTTCAAACAGATTGTTTTCACAATCAATAGGCCTCAACTCCTTATAGAGTTTGATTTTTACTAAAAATTTCATGTTGATATCGCTTTTCATTTTTGTTTTTTTTTTTTTTTAATTTCACTCCCCTTAAATCCCCCATATTTAATCAGATTTTTTTTTGTAATTAAAGGGCTTCTCCTCCTTTTAGAGATTGATGTTTGCTAACAATTTCAAGTTTATATTATTTTTCGTTTTTCAGTTAGGATTTTTTTTTTATATTTTAACCCCTCTTAACTCCCCAATATATTCATATTTTTTTCAGTATCAGTAGGCTTTATCTTCTTATAAAGCTTCATTTTTACTAAAAATTTCATGTAGATATCGCTTTTCGTTTTTAATTTAGGAATTTTTTTTAATTTCAACCCATCTTAACCCCCTATTTTTAATCAGATTTGTTAAAAATCAATAGGCTTTGTCCCCTTACAGAGCTTGATGTTTGCTTAATATTTTCAAATTGATATTATTTTTCGTTTTTGACTTATAGTGCAGACAAAAAACGTCACATCGGACAGACAGCCAAAGTAAACCTATAATACTCTTCACAAAATACTGTATGAAGAGTAGAAAAAAATGTATGAGATAAAATAAACAATTTAAAAAGGTTAACAATAATATTCAACTTCTTTTATCAAAGGATACTAAAAGTTTGAAATAGCAGCACATAACTGAACACAGAACACAGAAATCTGTGAACTAAACTAGTGACATACATATCGTAAAATGTTATCACACTTAATTTTCCATATTATGATCCTTTCTAAGTGTGTTTCACAGCACATTTCAAAGTATTCTTGTACTCACTAATGTCCTACCCTCATGGCTGCTTTTGCATGTCCAAGTTTACTAAAAAATAATGTGTTTTAAGTTTTAATAAATAGAATAATATTAATTTTGTTTAAATAGGTAAATCAGCTTCATCTGTATTTCCAAATTATTGTTTAATTGTAGATAGTATATTAATGTTTTGATATGTACTTACAGGATTGATTAGCCAGATCATGTAGATATCTGGGATGTGACTTGTTAAGTGCCTAATCAAAATCACAATTTATGTTTGATACTTATTTCGAGACTTTTTTCGAGACATTCTTTATTACCAACTGTAAACTAATTTACCAATAGCCTTATTTTTATTTAATACCTAAAGTGATTTAAATTACCATAACATCTAATATTTTTGAAAATACTAAATTATACAAACAAGGCAATAAAAAAATTTCTGGTTTGTATGTAACAAACCATCTTGGTTAGAGGGTAACACGATTGATAATTGCAGGCAAACATAACTTTATATAAGTAAACTATTTAAATGTACATACCATTTCTTAGGTAACATTTCTCATCGAGTATATTAAATTAACTGGTTAATCCATTTTTCCGATTCAGACTTTTAAAGTGAAAAACCATTTGTCTCTTTATCTTTATCAAATTTTTAGTATACATTTCCATAATGATGTCTAGTTACCTCATCAGTAAAGACCGGACAATTTAATTTATTCTTATCAGCGAAGTAACGGTAAGAGCGGACCTTCGATTTGAATAATACATTCTGAATAAAACAAGTTATTTACTGAACTGGTCGACACAGTAGATAAGATATTGGATTTTTATCGCCCGGGCGTAACATTTGGGGCGGGCTTATTATTACATTTACATTGCAATAATTATTTTATTAAATTTTAGTTCAAATTTGGTTGGATATTATTATATAATTACAAATGATATTATTTATTTTTTTATTGTGTTGTGGGATAATGTTGTTGGCTTTTTCTGTTAATATATTATTGACTAATAAATATATCAACGAGGATACACCATCATTAGTTTTATGTTTAGAGTGTTCCAATATACACTCTTTATCCTAAAGTAGCAAATATACAATTATATACAATATATACAATACAAATTAATATCAATCTTCTTCATTTGAAAAATATGTTTGTATGACTGCATATTTTTCTAAATTGTCTTCAGTGAAATTACTTCTTTTAGAAGTCAATAAATCTTTAAACCTAGAAAACGATCGTTCTACGTCACAACTCGTTACAGGAGCAAATGAAAAATGTGGAACAAAATCACAATATTTTAAAGCAGTTTCATAATCGTTAAAATTGTTCAGGGAGATTTGTTTCAGAGTCTGTAAATTTGGATTTCTTTTAATAACACAATCTATTTTATGGTTAAATTTATCTTGTAAGGGCCACTTTACGTTTTTTAAGTGTAACAATGTCGATTCAAATTTTTCCATAGCAACCGATAATTGTAAGTTACGGGTTTCAAGGAATTTTATAGTTTCTGGGAGACACGAAAAATAAGTCGCAAGAAAATTTAACTCCGACTGCAAAGTTGTTTTTGTTATTAAACCTTTACACTGAGTGATAGAGAGAGCGTCCTCTGATAAGTTGGAAATAAATACTTTTAGTCTGTCGAAATGCTCCGAAAAAAAGAACACAGCCTGTAACCAAGTTCCCCATCGTGTAATAACTGGTTGTGGAGGTAGGGGGATATTCGGACATATTTCTTTATATAAAGAAACTCGGGACGGTGCTTTTAACAAAATTTTTTTAAAATAGCTAATCAACGAATTAATGTCTGGAAAGCTGTCACGGATAAACTCACAAACTCGGTGTAACGCGTGAGCAAGGCAAGTTACATGCAGCATGTTTGGAAAATGTTCTTGTAATAGTTTCCCTGTTTTCAACATTACACTTGCCGCGTCTGAAATAAACAATAAAACTTTTGAAACGTCATTATCAATTACATTGTTCAATCCACGTTTCACTATTTCATAAATCATTTCAGCGTTCACAGTTTCACGAAACACACTAGAAACTAAATACTGTTGTGAAGTATTTTCAGCACTTAATAATCCTACAACAACATTAACAACACATCTACCCTTTATGTCAGTCGTTTCATCTGCACTAACCCAAATATATTTGCTGGAAATTTTCGTTTTTATTGCCGTCATTGCTTTATCGTACTGATTTTGAATATAATGTTTTCTAATTGTGGATTCATCCGGTATTTTACGTTTAGTATATTTACAAAGAAAATTTTTGAAAATTGTATTATTTAATTTTGTTAATGGAATATTTGCAGAAACAAATGCGTTGCATAAATCTTCATAAAAGATTTTGTCTGGACATCCCTCTAAAGATTGCATGTGTTTTTGTGTTTTCACATGTTGTGTCATACTTGACTTTCCATTAAAAACTAACACCTGATCACAATTGCGGCAGTATAATTTGTTGTCATTAAAACGACGAAAACAATCAAAGTCCGATAATAAATTTTCCATATTTACGTTTCCAGTTTCTATCACTTTTCCCTTTGAACTAAACAAATATACTCATTGGAAAAATCTAGTGATATTTTTACAAGACACTTTCTTCTCAAATCTCCTGTTTATCGACTCTTTGTTATCTTTTTACATTTTTTCAACCAACAGATACCTATATAGAGTGAGCAATTGAATTAATACATACATTACAGAAATTTAACAGACATTTATTTTATTGTCTCATCGTGTATAAGTACCATAATATCCACAGGAAATAAAAACATAAATGTTTTGTTACAAAAAATCGGTATGTACGGTATCGATAAAAGCCAAAATATTCATAAATATAATATAAGGATTGACTTTATTTGAATAAAAATATCACCGGCAACTAACCGACAATGGATCGAGAAAGTATAAGACAACATATGATGGGCCTATTTGACATTCATTTTAGGCCCTCTCTACAGCGTCTTAGTCCAAACGCTCGTAGAGTCCTAATATTTGGCCCCGATGCAATTTCTCCAACAATGAATCGGGACCAGCTAAGGCTAGAAATTTCCAATTTTCTGGAGGAAATAACAAATTCGGGGGAGGCAGCTGGGGTCCTCGATCCTCATTTTAGGCAGGAGAGTAGTGTACCACGCCAAAATATTGAGGAATAGATATTTTGTAATTATATAAGAGATAATAATAAAAAAAATATCATACAGAATATCGTTTACATTACTACACCTTAAACTCGCTTATGAAAAGTTTAACATCTTCATCAAAAAAGTTATTTTTTTTTAAGGAAAATTTCTCAGGCCACAAATTAAAGGATCTGAGGTTACTAAAAACTTTTGTAAAATATCCTACATATCCTCGGCGTTGGTGAGAAGAAAACATTAAATTTGTTTAATGAAAATGATTCAAAAGACAAAGAATATAGGTACACGATAAAAAAAATCTC